CACAGGGGGGTGTGCAAGAGACACACAGAGCCCTTAGGCTGTCACAGCCTGTCCCCAAGGATGTAGATTGAAGGAATTTCTTGCCAAAAAGTTTTTTTTTTTTTTTTTTTTTTTTTTTTTTTTTTTTAAAAAAAAAAAAAAAAAAAAAAAAGCCAGGCTGCGCAAATTTTTTAAAAACTGTCATTTGCACACATTTCCATATTGTGCTAAGTCCTGATTCCATATTTGATTGTGTTCCAAGTTTGATTATATCCAAACTCAACCTTGAGGGCATTAGAAACATAAATGGTTTTGTATCAAATCCAAACAGTAATGGGCTTACTGTTCAGGTATGGATTCTACTTCGAGCCCCCTTTGTTCATGTAACCTCTTTTCCTTGAGTCCCATTGGGGCTGAGGGTTGTGTTGAGAGGTAGGAATTCTACTTCTGAGGAAGTCTTCCTGCTTCACCTCTTTGATGGTCATCTCCATCCAAGATAGGCTACTATCACTTGTCAGTCGTGCCTGTTCTCCCCAGCCCCGAGGCAGGCCACTCTTCCATGGTGACACTGGCCTCCCCCTTTTTTCTCATTGTCCCCACCCTTCCACCCTCATGCATGGCTGCTGTGGGTCTTGTTTTTCAAACCTCACTGTGGGAGATCCAGGCATCCTCCCTGAGCCAGCTGGCTGCTGTGCCAAGGCCTGTTCAGAGTTAATAATAATCATTAGTTGAATGGTGCTGGGGCCTTTCAGCTCCAGATCTCTAAGCACTTGCAGGCTGAGTCAGCCAGCCCTCACCTTCCCCCCCCCCCACCTTCCTGGGCTTTGGAGTGTAACAGCATGGGGAGGCACTGTGGGAAAGGAGGGTGTCAGGATTCTTGCTGTCTGGCCATGCCCGAGATAGGGACTGAAAATCCTTTCCATAAACTAATAGGCCTGAGTCCCTGAGAAAGGTTAAGGTATATAGGGAACATAGTATACTCAGCTGAGTCTAGGGGTGGCTGTTGTAGTTGATGACCCCCAACATCTAGTGCCCCTGCCCTTCTGTGTATCTGCTTTGTCTTCTGGGGGTGCTCCTGGTCCTGGTGCCACCAGCAAGTTTAGAGAATAAGGAAGCTTCTGGTTTAGTGCCCTTGTGGTTGGTACAAAGAACTTGTGGACTATGGACTGAAAGTTGCGTCAGCCTGCGAAGGCTGGGAAGGCTACTATGTAAGAGTCTCAGTTCCTAACACTGGTATGGCCATGGGCAAACCATTTGCTACTCATCTTACCTCATAGGGATGTGGTGAGGGTTAGATGAGCGAACAGATGTCAACAGGCACTGCAAGTTCAAAGCATTAAACAAATGTAAACAGTGGTGTTCTGTTCTCTCTCTTACCAAGCCTGGCTCTGTGTTTTATGCTTCCTAAGGAGGCAATAAACTGTGGATGATGATGCTCAGGGGGACCCATGTCTCAGAGAGGCTGTACTGGCCACTGTAAGAGAACGCAGTCACATTTCTCACTTTTAGATGCAAGGTCATGTCTTAACTGTTCCTGCCAGAAATGCCAGCAAGATCATAACTGCTGAGGTTTGCCCTAAAGTGTGATTTACCCAGTTTCAAGTCGCAGGGCTGAGTGCACATCTCAGAATCAGTAAAACTTCCTCCAGCTCTAATCTGAAGCATCAGGTCTTGGGGGTTTCTAGTCACAATTTATTTAAATCTCTCCCCCCAACTCAATCCTTCTAAGGGAGAGCAGGGCACACAGGATCAATAATAGTGATATTACAGGACCACGCTGACCTTCTGGTTTCCCTTCTGTACGCTCAGGCCCACACTCTAAGCACTGGGATGTGGCATTGTGAGGGACGTGGCTCCTGGCTTCCAGGGGTCCACAGCTTAAGGTTCCCTTTCCTGTTTCAGGGTCTTTGGAGTAAGGGTCTTCTCAGAATGTTTCATTGGAATTACATACACAAGCGTGCACACACCATGAAAACACATCTGTTTAAATTTTAAGTTAGAGGGAAGATACTTTCACTCCACTTTCCTGAGAACAGCAGCATTGTCTCAGAGTAGATGCAGACAAGCAGGAGCACAGAGGTCTGACCATTTGTTTTTCTTAATTGACCTGCAATCCAGGAATGAAACACTAGTCAGGCATGGTGGCATAGCCTCAGCCACTCTTGCCAGCACGGCACAAAGAAGACAAGCTGAAAGATAGGAAGACAGTGCCCCAGAACTGCCCTGGAGAAGGCTTGGAAGTAGATGGTCTCAGCACTGGTCAGAGCTTAATACAAACACGAATTACCTTTAGTGGGACAACACCACCCCAGAAGGCTTGTCCAGTCACAAATGTGGTCAGAAAATAACAGTTCAATTTTAATCCAGCTGCTATTGTCAGAATTTCCCAGATGAGTTTTTAACCTGTCTTTGAAGCAGATGAAGGAACCATTTCGGCCTAATCTATGGTATCTGAGGGGCTTTGTGTCACTGGAGTAGCCCCAGTACTACCTTTAAAATGGATTCTTGGCCATCTTCCACTGTGTTCTAAGGATGCAGTGATGCTCAAGCCCACATCAAAAGCAAATTATAACCACGTGAGGGGGCAGTGGGAGGGGAAAGCAGCACACACCTAGCTCCAGTCCTCCCCAACCTGTATATCGGATCACTTTATGTATGGCAGTGCTGAAAGGCACCTGGAAGCCCCCTCGTAGGGTTGTCATGTCCTGGCTAACTGAAGGGTGGCTGTCTCAGGCTGTAGTTCAATGCTCTTTGTGCTCCAGGCACAGACTACAAGGCCTCAGGACAGGTCTAAGTATCTTTTCCATTTGATATCTTCCACCTGTCAGTGTCTAAGCCTGACCAACTTGCTTGATTGGCAGCTTTAGCCTCCCCTTTCAAGCCCTAGGAGAGAAAGCAGTCAGCATAGACTCACTGCGGCCTAACCAAAAAAGCCAACTGTCCTTACTGCAGGACCGGAGCTTATTTTGCCATGTGGGTGGGGAAAGTGCAGCTTCACCACTGGTTGCCTGGGAGACAAGATAAGTGGTACAAATACAGAAAGGGGAGGAGTCAAGAGACCTAGTGGAAGAAGGACTAAGTTAGCCCAAGCATGGAACTCTTCATTTTCTGTTCTAAAAGGCAACTGCCACATCAGCCTTCCCTGCTCCCCGTGAAGTGCTCCATAAGAGGAATGAGGGAAAGTGTTGTATGAACCTGGCAGACCACAATTGCACATCTTCACCAGGACCTAGGGACCTTGTGGCTTCGGGGTGGAGCAGGCAGGAAGAATAGAAGAGACACAGCCATGGAAGGATGAGAGGAACACCAAAGCTCAAGCTCAGACCACACACAGGGGAGAACTGAGTAGTCTTCTCAGCCTGTTCTCTTTATCAGCATCATCCTGTTGGACAGGCTGTCAGCTACAGCAAAAACTGCAAGGATGAGAAAATATATAGATGTGGACCATGGGAGAGCTCTGACCTCAACATCTGTATTTCACTGACTGACTTGATTGTAGCTGGTGGTGAGGTGGCTCTGCTGTCCCTCCTGATGTAAGAAAGACAACTCCCCAGACAGGAGGGCTGCACGTGGCTAAGATTTCATGCACCTAAGAGATGAGGTTAATTATACAAATGTTGATTCATTTCATTTCTTCTTTCCTTACATGTTTCTTCCCTCTTTGGCCTCTTATCCAGGTACTAACCAGGCCCAACCCTGCTTAGCTTTGGATATCAGATGAGATCTGGCGCATTCAGGGTGGTATGGGTGTAGACCTCTCCCTCTTTGGAATCTACCAGAACAGTGTCCTTCCAGCAGCACCAAGAGAATAGCCAAAGACTTTGCCTGGTCAGAGTTCAGAGTCTAGTCTAGTTTCTGGTAGAATAAACAAAAAAGTGAGGATTGCATTTTTTTTTACTGTGCAGAATACTTAGCACACATGAAACAGTCAATGAGTATTAACCTACCCATTAGATAAATATGCTAGCATTTAGCCCAAGATGAAAATATACTACTACTAAGTCTTATGAAAGTGAGCTGTTTCCCACCAATTAAAAAAACCCTCCAGCCCAAGCATTTTCCCATACTACCATTAATAAGCTTGATCTAGCCTTTTAAGAGAACCCTGTAAGGCAGCAACCCACCTCTGGAACTCAGGAAATCATTATCTGCAAGCCTTAGCCCAGGTTGTGGGAATTCTAAACCCTTGCCTACTAAAGGCTCTGTGACACTTCTTTTGAGAATATGTCTCCGAGGTTAGAAAACTGTGGTCTGCTCATCAGATTAGCCTAGTGCCTGGTTTTGTGTGGTACATAAGCTAATAGCTTTTACATTTAAAACATTATTTTTTATGTATTTGAGTGTATTGCCTGCATATATGTAAGTGTACCTGTGTCGTACAATGCCCACAGAGGTCAGAAAAGGGTGTTGGACTCCCCTGGAACTAGAGTTATGGACGGCTGGGAACCAAACCTGAATCTTCTGCAAGAGCAGCCAGTGCTCCTAACCACTGAACCATTGCTCCAGCCCCTAGCTTTTACATTTTGAAATGGCTGAAAAAACTCAAAAGATCAATGTCCATAAATAAAATTTCATTGAATGCTATGTTTTGGATGTGATTTGATTATGTACCTCAAAAATTCATGTACTGGAAGCCCAGTCCCCAGTGTGGTGTGATTGAAAGAAGTAAGAGGTAAGGCCTAGTGGGAAGTAATTGGGGGCATCATCCTTAGAAGATATTAAGGTAGTTCTCATGGGACCCTGGAGAGTTCCCACAATGACAAGTTGTTATAAAAAGAACAAGCCAGATCTCTGAATCTCTCTGGCTTTCTGTCTTACTATGTGATCTCTTCTGTATGTCCTCCCATCATTGAGATGACTTCTACCATAAGACTCACCAGATGCCAACTAGGTGGGTCCACTTGATCTTGGGCTTTCATCTTCCCAAACTGTAAGCTAAGTAAACCTTTTTCCTTAAAAAATACTTTGCCTTGGACATTTTGTTATAGCAAATGGACTAATACACTGGGCCAGAACAACAGTCATTCATTTATATACTGTCTGTGGACATTTTTGCTGCTATAGCAGCACAACTGAGGTTTACTAGATGATACAGCCTATAAAGCCCCAAATGTACACTGTCTGGCTTGTAACAGAAAAAGTTTGCCACTCTCTAATCTGTCTTAATGCCAAGTTGATACAGATTTTACATTATAACAACACTTAAAAAGATTCTCTTTAGATAAATCACATCCTTTTGAGGTACACTGAACCCACCCACAGGCTGAAAAGATAAATAAACCATCCACAAGCTGTGCCAGAACAGAGACTCAAGCCAGGTTTAATGGTCATTGTCTAGTTTCAGAACCCATTGGCTCTGAGGTTTGCCAGCTTGGGTATACACAGTTGGGGGAAGAGTCCTAGACACAGGAGAAGGAAGTACAGAGGTAAGAACATACACAAAACTGGAAAATTGGCTTTGTTCTCTCCAGATGGGGTCTACCCTCTCCTGGCCTCTTCCAGGGAGCCCCATAAATACAGCAAAGAAAAAGATCACAAATAATTACTTAAGACTATAGAGCCCTGTCACATTCTGTCTCCAGAGACATCTGCTTTCTGGGAGACATGGTTTATGGGTGCAAGATGGGGTGAGGAGGTGATCGCTCAGCCTTTCCTTATATCCACACCTGACAGCCCCCCCCAGGTTCTAGTGGACTATATATGTGGATATTGACACACACCCTTCCTGCAAGGAGAAAGCTACCTTTGGGTTAAATGAACTGCAACCATAGGAAGTGACTAATCAGTTATATCTCCTGGTGAGTAATCAGGTACATCCTCCAGGTGTCTCAAACTTGGGCCCAAGTTAGTGGATACAGGAGGGAGAGGTAGGACTTATGAAGAAAATGGCCCTTCTGGTCCTCAGGAGCTCAGCTAGAATGCCCCAGAAGGCTAGCTTCATTTGACCTCTACTTGAAAGAGTTTCAAAGCCCTGGATGGTGTCAAGAGAGGACACTGCCACATGGAGAGAGATTTTCCCATTTCCTGATGAGTTTGAGGGTGGGGGTAGGGGTTCTATTCCTAAAGCTCTGGTGACAAAATCCTCAGAAGTCTTTGGAATACAACCAGACAGCATTTCTCTCCAACCCTTCCTTGTATATCAGGACAGTCAACACAGGAAGAGCAATTCATGGCTGCTTAGCTCTCTGCCTGTATCCTTTGGGGTCTTTCATTGATCTGGTTCTAGTTCCATGTCTTATATATGTAGTCTTTAAGGAAGGTTTCTCAGGAGTCTAAAGAACCAGTTAGAGCCTCACCACTCCTTAGTCTTCAACCTATGCCCCCCTGTAACTCCAGCCTCTGTAGAGAAGTGATTCAGAGCCATGGAGGTAATGGGTGAGGGTTCAGGGTGTTCAGAAATCAAAGAACAAGAGATTGCATTTGAGGAGCCTGGCATGGTCACTGTCTCTCCTACAGTGCAAGAAAATTGTATGTGAGAAGTTGTGCACACAGGTGGAGGCTGTTCTGGAAGTGGTGGCATTAGAGGGGGCTACAGATTCACTGTCCTGGTGGAGGTCAAGGTGCTGGTGTGCATGCATACCTATGAGCATGCATACCTATGAGCATGCAACTACTTGAGGGGAATTGCTGCACCTCTCTCTTGACAAAACTAGGTTACTAATAAAGGATGGACAGCAGCCTTGAGATCCCAGGAGCAGACAAAAGGAAAATGTTAACTTCGAGTTCTCTTCCCCAGTCTTAATAAGCAGCTTAACAGGTCCTCCTAGGAAGCAGCCCTCACCCACAGGTAAACAACACCTCTTAGAACCTAAAAAGCAGGTCAGGAAACTAGAAGATCTGGACAATTTCCAACAGACATGTAACAAGGGAAAGAAAAGACACTGGAAAAGACCAACATCAGGGAACATTTTTGTCTTTGCCCTGCTCACCCTCCCCTCCTACCAAAGCTCAGAGCAGCTGCCTCCAGGCCTGCAGGACAGTCAAAGGGAAAAGCTTAGGGGGGCAGACATCTCCTCACACAAAGCATTCTGCGTACCTGGATGGAACCTAAGGCTGGGTTTGCTGTTAAGTTCCTCCTCTGACAATCACAACTGCACAGACCTCTGGCTGAGAGAAATGGGGCAGTGGAACTTTCCTTCTGAAAGTTTAGTGCCACTGATGCCTCTAGCACAAGACTGCCTGGAGCTTGGTGGGAAGGGAAGGGCTCTAAGCCACGCTCCACACTGTCTTTCTCAAAGACAACTCAGTTCTAACCCCTCAGTTGCCAAGATCCCATGCTGTGGCTTTGCAGTAGGAGCAGAGCAGCCTTGGTAGCACAGAAAAGGTACATCTTGGGTCTGGGCTATCTCCAGACCTGATTTAACAAGCAAGACCAGACTTTCTTGGGCTCTTCCCTTTGCAGAGAAGCATATATAGTAAACCCAAAATGCCACCTGAGTTGATTAGCAGACTGACTGAAGAGATGGCAGACACAGAAAATCAGGTAGGTCCAGCAGGCTGCTACATCAAAGAGGCTGGTTTTCCCTCATCCCTTCTGGTGAGAGTAGCCTTCGTGCTACATCTGTGCAGGCACCCATACAAGCTCTGCCTTCAGCAGTCCCTAGCCTGGTCTGGCACACAGACACTGGGAGTCAAAGACTAACCAAAGGTTTTCCCCAGACAGAGAATTAGCCTACCTGGAGTTCATTCTCCATCTACAAGTTTTGTGCTGTGACAGAGACCCCTTAGTTCATTGCGTACCCATCTGTGCCACTTGTCCCAGGACAAGGCACAGAAACCACAGCCTACATTGCTGCCATAACTAACAGGCAAGATCCACCTACTCAGGGCTCCTGGGGAAAGGAGGCAGCTTCAGTGGGAAGTCTCCCAGCAGCTTTGGGGAGTGTTATTGATCCAGGTCTCAGCCTTTCCCTGACTCATTTTCCAAAGGTTTCCAATTCCCTAGCTGTGACTTCCTGACCAAAGAAAGTACTGCAGCTTCCCGACGTGGCTCCTGTGGAGGCTCCCCCAACACACACAACTTCACAGGTGTGGGTGGGCAGAGACAGAACAAATTTGTTTTTCAAATGTTTTTTCTCTTAAGGAGCTAGGGATGACCTCAAAAAAGTTTAAGGAATCTGCTCTTCCCCTCACCCCTTTCCTCATTCCCATCCAACTCAGACGTGTTCCTCCTCCTCTTCTACCACATTGAGAATTGCCAAGGCTCTGGGTAGGGGTGTGGCGTCTGCCTGAGGATTAATATATCCATATGCAAAACTCACAGCATCCACACCCTCCTTGGGGTCTTGCCTGCTGTCCGTGCCCATGACCAATTCCCTGGTGGTCAGGAGGAACCCACTCCCTTGGGCAGCCAGCCCTCTCTTCCATCCCCTCATATCATTCAGGGGTGCACTACCTCTCCTGGGGCAGAACCTCCCCACCAACCTATCCTGCTCACACCACAATGGGCGTATCAGAGAAGACCGAGCTGACCGACTCTGGATCTGACATTCTCCGTTGGCCCTTGCCTGTTGCCTCGGGCACCGGCAGAGTGTTGCCTGGCTTGAGTTTGCCATTTTGACCCTGCCCAGGTCCAGCAGGTTCCAGGAAGGCCACCCGCCTATCAAAACCATCATCTTTGTCCCCACCAGCAATAGGATCGTGGTTGGGTGTGGTACTAAGCATAGAAGAGCTGAGGCTATCTCCTTGATGGCTGGAAGGCTTCTCTACACCCCGGCACCAACATCGACAAGGAGTGAGATACAGGTAAATGAGGACCAGGACCACACTGAGAATACAACCCACCAGGGTGGTATAGGCTGTGTTGAGGGTGTCATGGTGTCCGTGCAAGGTGAAGTTGTACACTTTCAACTCCACAGACAGTGTCTCATTGAAAGTCTCCCCCACAGCGTAGCAGGTATACACACCCCCATCCTCAACCTGCACCTTTTCAAAATGAAGACTACCATCCTTAGACACTGTCACTGTGCCATTGGCCCCCTGATTTAGCACCCGTTCATTGCTTGGTGTCACCCACACTTTGGTCATCCCTTGCTGCTTGGTGTCACATGTGATGGTCAAGGCGTCCCCCAGGTGAGCCTCCCAGGCACTCTCCTTGTACTCGCTGCAATTGAAGAAATCCAGACTGAAGACATTGTGCAGTTTCTTGGAATGCATGCAGTAGAGATCCTCCTGGAAGTCCATCACAGAACTCAGCTGTCTATACTGCCAGTGAGAAAACAGCTGGTAGAGCTTGCAGTCGCATTCCAGGGGGTTGTTATGCAGGTACAAACCATTCTTGACCCAGGCTGGCAGCTTCTGCAGGTCAGTCAGCGGCAACTTCTTCAGCTTGTTGGAGGAGAGATCCAGGAGTATCAGTTTGGGTAATTTGTTTCCTTCCTTGATCAGTTCCAGAGGGAAGCGGGAGATCTGGTTCTGGCTCAAGTAGAGTTTCTGCAGCTGGGCCATGTCCTCGAAAGCATATCGGTCCACCACGCCGATGTGGTTATTGTAGAGCAGCAGCACCTCCAGGGCTTGCAGATCACTGAATAAGAACTCATCCAGCGTATGAAGCTGGTTGGAGGAGAGGTCCAGGTAGCGCAGCTTGGGTACCGGGATAAAGGCCTCAGAGGAGATGAAGTTCAGGTGGTTGTGGCTCAGCAGCAAGGTGTGCAGGTTGGTCAGACGGGTAAGGGTCCACTCGGCCCGTAGACGGCTCAGGTTGTTGTGGCTGAGGTCCAATAATGCTGTGTAGCTGGGCAAGGAGTGGGGCACATTGAGCAGTTGCTGTTTGGAGCAGCTGAGGATGTTGCTGGCGCACAGGCAGTTGGTAGGACAGCTAACCACACGGCCAGCCCTGGCTACCTCAAAGAGGAGCAGGAACAAGGACAGCAGCAGGAGCCAGAGGCCTCTCAGGTCACGCTGGGGTTGCATAGTGTCACTAGGGAGGGCGAGGAAGGCCACAAGAAGATCTGGGAGGGAGTCACCCCGGCATGTTCTGGTAGAGGATGGAAGGGTCACTTTCACTACAGGCTTGGAAGAAAGAATGGGTTTGTAGTCACCCAGGACTTTGGAGGGAAGGGCCACCACTCCCACTTTCCCCTCCCATCCCTTCCTCCAGCCCCCTGGGCGCGGAGAGAAGGGAACGGGTCCCTGGTAGTTCCCAGGAACGGTGCAGGGAGACAGTGAGCTCAAAATATTGGGTACTAGAAAACGTGGCACAATGTGGGGTCGCGGATGGAGGATAAGGGTATAAACAACCTGTCCCTTGCAAGGGAGCGGGGTGTCACTGGGACTGCACCCGCTAGGTTTGGAGGCGGGGTCAGCTGGGCCTTTCAGGAGGAGCTGAGGGAAGGTCAACAGGCTGGGTAGGGCGCATCCCGGTGGGGCTGAAGGTTCCCCGGGCCTGTGGCGCGGGCTCCCTCCCCGGAACCTCGGGTCACTGCACCTGCTCGGCGAGGATGCGTCTCATCCCATGGCCAGTCCCGGAGCTCCGCCGCGGCCTCCCCCTCACTGGCCGGCCTGTCTCGGCGCCCGTCTTACGCAGGGGCCCGCGCCCGGCGACATCGCCTCCAGGGAACTTGCGGGGCTCCGCGCTGCACAACGCGCCGCTGCCTCGACCGCTGCGCCAAACGGCGGAGCCCACCTAGCACGGCTGCCGCCTCCGGATCCGTGGTCCCGGGCTTGCAGTGTCGGGAGCTGGAGCCGCGGCGATCCGAGCCGAGGGAGCAGCGTGGGGGCAGCGAGCACCGCGCGCGCGCGCCCGTCACTGCCGGAGCCTCGGGGCGCGTGCGCGGCGGGGGCGGGGCGCACGTGCGTGTGTTTGTTTCCCCGCGCTCCTGGCGGACTCCCGGGGTCCCTAGCCTGAGTCTGCGGGCCGAGTCATCGTCTCAAGTGCGCTCGTTCTAGGCTCTGAGCTGGTGATGGAAAGTGTCAGGAGGATCCGGGCCCCTAAGCGCCTCTCCTCCGCTCACCTTCCTCCATCGCCCTCATCCCTACCGCCCCACGCGCCCCCCGACTAGTTCCCTTCTTCCTATCCAACCCCCCCTGTCAGGAAAAGTAAGTCTAATTGGAGTGAATTTGCTGGAGCCAGTGAACTGACTCCGGGGCAAGAAGCGTCACGCGTCTTCCAAATTAAAGAAATCTGGCTCAACTCCGCCTTGTGAGTGTTGGCGGGAAATGCATTAGTCACGTTTTTTTTTTTTTTTTGAGTTTTATCCAGTTTTCTTTCTGGAGCAGTGAAGTCCCCCAAATTTCGGGAAGAGCTTTGTTTTTGTTTTGTTTCCCTCCAGTCTTGATGCGACTAGCCCATAAACCTTGGGGTACCATTGAAGAGCACGATCCATAGCCTGCAAACCAACTGGGGATGAGTAGGGAGGCGTGTCTGTTGGGTCTTCAGACTCTTGCCTCTGAGATCCTTCTATAGACACCCCATTGCAGGTCTCCCACTTGTCTTCTTGAACCAGTACTTTCTGATTGGGGAGCAATTCTAGTAGTTTCTTTATTAACTTAATTCTCAAATGAAGGCCAGTGGTGGGGGTAGAGGTGTCGTCTCTAGGGTGACCGCTTAAGAAAACCCCCCACAGAGAAGGTATTCACCAGTGTATGTAAATTGATGGTTGGGAGCAGAGTGTAAGAAGACTTTATTCTTGAGATAGTGGACGCTGAGTGAGAAATTACCATGAAGGTATTCACCAGTGTATGTAAATTGATGGTTGGGAGCAGAGTGTAAGAAGACTTTATTCTTGAGATAGTGGACGCTGAGTTAGAAATTACCATTTTTTTTTTTTCTTTCTAGTCGCTTACAATAGTAAGGTCAAGACTGAAATTATTGTCTGGATAGATTAGCCTGCCAAGAGTTTTAAAAAGAAAGAATTTATATCTGTCATATATGTTTTACCACGAACTTAAGTGGATCTTTGTTTTTTGTTTTTTTGTTTTTTTCCAGTTCATTTCAGGCATGGGTGAAAAGTCAGGAGTGTTCCTTTTTGGAAGAGAGGGAAAGAAGAATCCAGAAATCAATTGCATCACTGCATAACACAGTTTTGTTGGTCAGTGATTCTGGAGAAGTATGCTTGGTAGACCTGGCCCAGAGGTTTCTGAAGCAGTTATGGGTAGGTGTCAGATGGAGCTGGTCACTGGAAGATTTGACTGGGACCAGAGGGTCAGCTTCCACAATGACACACATAGATCCCTCATGCAGCTGGCTATTGGCAGAAAACATCAGTGACTCTCCAAGGCCTGTCACAAGACTGCTTAAGAGCCCTCACAAGCCATCCTCCCTCAGAACAAGAGATTCAAGAGTGTGCAAGACAGAAGTCACAATGACTTAGCTCTTTGAAGTACTGCCTGTTACAAGCCCTGATTCAAGATGGAAGGACACTCTACAAGGGCATGAATTACAGGAAAGGATTATTGGGGGCCATTTTGGGGCTGTCATCACACATATCATCTCTGAAATGGCATCTCCTTTTTAATTTTGAAGAATTTCAATCATACCAAAATTATACAATGAACTGCTGTATATCCATCATCCTTATTCAATAATTGTCAAGGAAACACTATCATTGTACTTTACACAAATATCACTGAAAAATAATGCTCTCCTTACCTCCTTTACCCTCCCCCATAGTCCTTTAGACCCCACATTCTAGGCTTCATCTCTTCCTAGCTTTTTCCCCTTTCTACTGTGTTTAAAAGATAGGAGAGAGACAGAAAGAAAGCAAAAGGCCCCTTTATGAAACATCTGTTTCAAAAATTGGTATTTATAATTTGGAAGGATCATCCCAGATATAATCCTTAGTCTCTTTTTTTTTTTTCATCTCATCTGCCTTTAAAAAGTTTTAATGTGCATACAGATCACTAGAGGATCTTGTTAACACAGATTCTGAATCACTAGGTAGCAAGGGTCTAGAAATGTGCTATTCAAATGGGTAGCCATTAATCATACATGGCTATTTGAATTAATTACAATTAAATAACATTATAAATCACATCTTCAGTATTCCTAGCACCATTGAAAATGCTCAGTAGTGACATGTAGCTAGCTACCAGTTGAGCAAGGCATTGTCACAAAGTCCTTTGGATAACCCTGGTATAGAGAGTTGACTCTTAATAACTCTTCCACAGCTGCGTTTTAGACCAGAGCAACTATCTACTAATTCACAACAAAAGAGAAACTGTGCAAGATAAATAGCAACAGATTATTTATAGTGAGCATTTATTTCCTCTTGCTGGAATAGATCAACTCAGTGTGCCTAAATACAACTTGAAAGATTACTTGGTTAGCTCAGGACTGGAGCACCAGGGGTTAGGAGACTAGATGAGTTGCCTTCCTCCATACTAGAAATATATATTTTTTTCTTTTGGACTGGCAGAGACCATTAAAATCAAAGCAAAGAATGGTGGAGAAGGATACCCTATTAAGAAGCTAACTTTTGGCTCCTTTTTATATTTACCTATTTATTTTTTATTAAGTTTTGGTTTTTTGAAACAGGGTCTCCTTTAGCCCCAGCTGGCCTGGAACTCACTATGTAAACCAGGCTAGCCTTGATCTTAGAGATCCATCCACCTGTCTCTGCCTCTCAAATGCTAGAATTAAAGACATGTGCCACCATGCCCAGCTCTTACTTTTATTTTTGAGGCAGGATCTTATGTATCCCATGCCAACCTCCATCCACCCCAGAATTTCCTGCATGCTAGTCAAACTATCAACTGAGCTATATTCCCAGCCCCATTGGCATCTTTTAAAGGCCTCCTTCAGGTTAACTACACTTCTTTTAGAACAGTATAGTTTAGTACTGTGGGCACAGTTAGGTACTCCTTTCTGTGATTCCATTTCACATTGTAAATATGGGCTTATGGGACTTTAAAAAAAAAGTTTTTAAAGTTATTTTAGTTTTAAAAAATATTTTATTGGGGTTGGAGAGATGACTCAGCAGTTAAGAGCATTGGCCGTTCTTGCAGAAGATCTGAGTTTGAATCCCATTACCCACATGGTGGCTAACAACCATCCATAATTCCAGTTCCAGGGAATCTGACACCCTCTTTTGTCCTCTGAGGGCACTGCATAACACATTGGAAAAATAAATAATTCAATTTTTAAAAAATTATTTTATAAAATTAATTTTTCCAAAATAAAAAATAATTTAAAATGTATTTATTTATTTGTTTATGTGTATGAGTGTTATGCCTGCATGTAAGTAAGTGCATTTGTATCATGCAGTGCCCATGGAGGACAGAAGAGGGCGTTGGAACCCCTGGAACTGGAGTTACCCATGGTTGTTAGCCTCCACGTAGGTGCTGGGAACCAAACACAAGTCCTCTACAAGAGCAGCCAGCACTCTTAACTGCTAAGTCATCTCTCCAGCCCCTATTTTAGTCTTTTGAGACAGGGTCTCCCTCTATCCCCAGCTGACCTGGCACTTGCTGTGTAGATCAGGCTGGCCTCAATTTCACAGAGATCCACCTATCTCTGCCTCAGTGCTGGGATTAAAGTATACACCATCATGCCTGGCTGCTTATGGAGCTATAATATGCTACCTTTTGAAGCAGGGTCTCCCTGTAGCCCCAGCTGGCCTGGAACTTTTATGTAGACCAGGCTGGCCTCAATTTCACAGAGATCCGCCTGCCTCTGCCTCCTGAGTTCCTATTAGGCTTCCAAGTGTTCATTGACTTAACTGCTCAATTAATTGATAATAGTGTCAAATTAGCATGTTTATTATGTTAGTACCCTCAATGCCTGATGTGAGGCTAAGGACGGAACATGGGCTTGGTCTAGATGAGTTAGACCTGGTTCATGAATATGACTGTAAATATTTCACTTTATTCCACTATCTGTAAAATGGGACAGTGTATTTTATCTGAACTTACATCATATTCTAAAGACCAAATGAGCTAACAGCTGTGAATGATTTATCACTTTTAATTTTTTTTTATCCTGTTTTTTCTCAATGACAATTAGGAGGTGCTCTTGTTTCCATAGCAACATATGTCAGCATACTTTGCACAGTTGTTTTCTGTCTTGGTCTTACATCTTTGGTGTTGTGGGTTGGGGACATTTGCTCAAGCTCAAGCTTTCTCTCTCTCTCCCTTTCTCCCCTAACCAGTTTTTCTAATTTTAAAATAGAAAATTTAAATATTTTAAAAGATTTACTCATTTTTATTTTATGTATGTGTGTGCCTGAGTGTACGTATATGTACCATGTGCATGCAGGTGCTCCCAGAGACCAGGGAAGGGCATCAGAGTCCCTGCAGCTGGAGTTACGGGCGATTGTGAGCTATCTGATTTGGGCATTGGGAACGAAACGAGGGTCCTCTGTAAGAGCAATAAGTGCTCTTGACTGCTGAGCCATCTCTCTGACCCCCAAACTTAAATATTTTAAGTGTTTTTTTACATTTTGTGGTGAACCTAAGAGGTTTTAGTATTAATGGCAATTTTTGTGTTCTTGGAGCAGCTCCAAAAGAAGGTATCGTGGAGTACTTAGCAAAAAAGATGAGTATAGTGCTAAGAATTGCTTAAAAGGCTAATGTTTTAGCCCGCTCCATTGGGTTGAGCCCTTCCTATATGAAGAAGCTCACCTGTGTTTCCATTTTTGTATTGTCCCTGATGGTGCTTTTTCTGGGGAATTTCTGTGGCCACTTCCCCACCTCACAAATTATCACTCATTTCCTTTTCCCCTTTAACTTTTTAACTTGCTCCTGAGCATGCCCGTAACATTGATTTATTTCCCATCCTAGAGGCACATATTTCCCTCTTTTTAGATGATTG